ATTCATAGCTTGGTATTGCTATAAGAAACCAGCCACCGCCTCAATTTAGAAAAATGTAGTAACAATCCCAAACTGAATGGGTTATTTGTATTTCAACGTTGTCTAACAACCAAAAACGTATGCTATGCAATTACGTGGACGTAATCACAAAAGGCTTCAAAGGAGTTTGAAATTCTCTCTCGAATGGCATATAAGGGGTGACTGTTCTCGTGCTACACCATCATTTTATTTCTCAAAACTTTTGCGGGCAATAAATTTTGCCATCGTTTTGATGTGAAGTCGTGTGAATCTCTGGAGCCCCTAATGAGTAGAATGGATACGAACTATGTGATTCGGCTTTCTGAGTCTTCCCATATTCGCATTTGCCTTGTGTCGTACACTGTACACTCAGATATTGATGTCGGAACGGTTATCTAGCTAACAGAAGAGGACTTATTTCACTAAACCCATTAGATCTAGACTACCAGCAGTTATGATTTTCGGACCCACTTCGTGAACAGTCTGTGGGACCTCATTTATTTGCCATTCCAAGGTTTACTTGTTATTAGCACGTCGCTCGGCCAAGCTAAACTTATGTTACGATTTAGATGAGGAGAACTCCTTGTCACTTGAGGAGAGCAGAGTCCGGTTTGTGCAGCACATTCCATTGGCCACACCGGGACACCCTTCGCATGCTACTCTAGTCCAAATCGCCATTAATAACACCAGAAATCCTGAATGAGTTTACAAGTGGACCAAGTGTACTTTGGTCCAAGCACCATCTGCTTTTTCAAGTAGCACTTGAGATGGTTTGACATGTCTTGCGCCTAAAATGACACTATGGGAGCAACATGGATTACTGCCGTTTCAAACTATTTGATCTAGGTACAACAAAACAGGTGTGAATCTTCTGGCTGAATGGGATCCGAACACTGGCAATTATGAAGCACTTCAGTCTGAGTGGTAATTACGCGTCGATGCGCGGTGTCACCGAACATCTGGCCACTGTGCGGCGTGTGAGGTAAGTGGTGTCTCGCTTTAGTTCGATTTCAGATGGATCTCATTCAAGAATGAATGGTGATTTTGTTTGAATTTGGCTCTCCCTTTCTCCTTTATCGTATTTATGACTCTTTACATAGGAATCTCCGCCTGTTCGTTTAATAGAGCACTCAACATTGCCGGAGCCTTTTGGTTATCGGAAAAAAAATATCACAGTTTAAAGATGGGTGTTTGGTTGTGCAGTGGCGACTCCCATCGGACAATATGTCCAGTCCCAGAAGCTGCTATGGTTTGACCGTTTATTGTGTGTACCAAATCATCATTTGGCGAAGAGAGTGTTGTTTTCCGTGCGCCATTCGGAGGGGCATAAGCGGAAGGGTGGTTGACCCTTGACCTGGCGGAGTGTTGTGCAACACATTAAGAAAAGTCTGGGTACGGTGGGTGCGATTCGCCGTCCAGGATGGAATTCACGTGACCCGCCTCCACCTGTATGTGTTTGGAGACGCTTCAAGATTTTATTATCATTAGCGCTCTTGTTGTCAGTTTCTATCCGGATTGGCTGTATGAGTGCCTGGAAGTGTAGGGGCTCCAGGATGATTGTAGTAGGCTTGCAGTAGGTCCTTTCCCTAACCACTTTATCCCGTCCTTCAGAATAAGGCCCTCAAACAAATTATGGTTGTACGGTAGCGAAGCGCTGAGCACTGATTTCATGCTGTGAATAATGATGATGATGATGATGATGATGATGATGATGATGATGATGATGATGATGATGATGATGATGATGATGATGATGATGATGATGATGATTTCTTGTCCAAGTCTGGACACTCTGGAAATATGGCAGCTATCAGACCTACGAAGCCATGGTTTCGAGAATCATCCACACACTATCATTGGGCCATACGCTGTTGAGTTCATAGTCAAGATTGTAGGTACTTCACTCAGCTCGAAAAAAAGTCTCCTACGACAATGACTGCTGGTGTCTGATATAGTGGTTGCTACTTTCTATTAAAAACCCTCCCCCGCTTTTACATTTCTCGGTTAAAAATATGCCAAGAATGCATGTTTCTAGTGCGCTTCTAGGTATTTATTAACGTTACTTGTTAGTCTGGATGCGATTCATGTCATTTCTTCCGGCAATCAACTTATGCATGTTCAAACGAGAATTCTGTGATCGGACTTCTCGCCTACATAGGGTTCTTTGTAAAAGTTATTAGTAAGTGAGGCAGATGTGGAATATCATTGGTAGGATCAGGTATCTCATGCAAACGGGGAGACGTTGTGAAATCCAATTTTTCAATAGACCTTCTCGGACGCTTCGTTTGTGATAGTGAATTTTGCATATTGTTGTTTGCTGTCTGTTTTCCAGAGTGATTGAAACCATGCTAATCCAATTTTAAAACCAGAGGGTACTATTACTGTCATTCAGGAAACTTGATGGTCAGAGTAAAATTGACCAGTCGCGGCTGGAAATCCTTGAAACTCGTTTTACAGACTTTGGTGCTGTTTGGACCCTTTATCCATCACTGAAGCGACGTATCACATTTCAAATGAACATAAGTGTTAGTGTGCCACTTCCCAGCTTCTTCACACGCAACCATTGGGGAAACCGTGCTCCACCGAAAACTATGTTTGCGAACACCAGGATTCGTGTAATCGGCCGAGTCTTTTGGTCGAGTTCTTTGGTCGTCTTTCACGGGCAAGCTTATTAGTAGATACAACGTTACTTTAAAAGTCCGTGAATGGGAGCTGGCGTTTCTCCATTTGCGGCAGTACTGTGCTTGAGTTCTTGCATAGATATTTTTTAGGCTATCAGTACATCCCCATAGGATGCTTTCGAATGAAATATCTTCTTGATACCTATGTACCCGCAGTTTCTCTGCAATAAAAGTCACGCTTTCACCGTCAAGAGGACTTTCCCAGCCAGCCCTCGCTCATTGTCTAGTGTCGGCTGTATATGCATACTGAATTCTGTTATTACTCGGAAGCGTTGTTACAGATGGGAAAGTCAAAAGAAAAGGTCCTTTCTTGTTGGTCAAGCTCTTTGCATTCTATTTTTTGACGTTCACTTAGGATATTAATCAACCTGATTTAAGGATCTCGGAATAGTCGGGATAGGTAGAGCTCAGATGTCTTATTCCACAGAAAAATTACAGGACGACCTTTTCCGTACAACCCTTGTGCAACCGTACAACCCTTGATTCAAACTCGTCATGGAAAATATCAGACTTGCCTGTTCCAGAATGATGCGGAATCGTTTGCATTATTGCCTTATTGTTGAACGGATGGGGGTAGGAAAGGAGTAATCGGATGCATTAAGCATTTATTTTTCCATAACTGGTTTCAATTAATGACCGTTGATAACAGATGGTTGATCGTTTCTGACCTACGATTCTTTGATGCATAACTCTCTCCATGAGCCTCAAAACAAGTGAATGATCAATGTTTATTGGCTCTATAGCTTTATAAAATACGATTCCTTGATGCATAACTCTCTCCATAAGCCTCAAAAGAAGTGAATGATTAATGTTTATTGGCTCTATAGCTTTATAAAATGTTTGAGGAATTAACACCGTTCATTATTCCCTAAATTTCCGTAAGCATAAGGACATAATTTCTGGTTGTGGCCGCATGTTTCTTACTTGAGATGCGACGGTTAACAAGAGGAACTAACACCGTTCTGTATTTCCTAAACCTTCCGTAGGTACATTGCATAAGAACATAATTTCTGGTTGTGGCCGCTTGTTTCTTACTTGAGATGCGACGGTTAACAATAAAAAACTAGCTATACGGTCATGTATCGGACAGTGAATAGGCCGTGTTTCATTCCTTCATGATGATCCGAGATTAGTTCGTCAAGATCAGCCAATTAAATGTCTTCTGGCCTTTCGTTGAACAATCTAATTGAAACGTCACTGTCATTCTGTCGAAACTTGATGCGAAATATTTGGGTACCCCGATTTCGATGAACAAAGCCCACACTATCGGCTTTGAGCTAGGCTTCAACTCAGTTATTCTGCGGCATTGCAATAGACCGATATTTGTTTGAACTCACCGAATAGAAATGTAAGTTTTAGCTTAATTAGTGATCCCGGGGTTCTTGTAAGATAATATATGACTTAAACTAGGCTTCTGGAGGTATATGTCTAGTTGATTCTGATACTACTTAAACAGTTATCACCAAGTGCTCTCCTTGAAGCGTATGGCCTACCGACTACACAGCTCAAAGACTCTGGTTCAATGCTGGAGTTAATACCAGAATGCTCTTTTTCCTTACGTGTAACGATATCCGCAATTTTTGACCGACAAAGGACTTGTCATTTCCACAATGTGTCACGCACAGAGCTTGTGTACCAGTCTAAAAGCGTTCAAACTTACGGATCACGTGCCCTTTTGATCGATTTGCAAGCCGTCCTTGTGAGTAGTTTTGTGACGTGGGTGCGCAATGGCCTCTAACGACAGCGTGGCTAACAAACATGCAGAAACTTATTTCCTCAAGTATACAGTGAATCAACTATGCAAAAATAATATCGTGTTGAATAGGCACTACGAAGAGGAATTGTTAGATCTAAAGAAATCTGCACCCGATGGAGATCACGATGGGTCGACGAATTGCCATCAGATAGATACATGCAGAGAAAAAATTGAACGACTCTCTACCAACTCAAAACTGTTGAATTTTGCGACATCCGAAATCCAGTTACTCAAACACGTGCAGGAGTATATGGAACTTCTGGAAATCTGTATTGACAAGACCGAGTTGCGCTACAACCGCCTAAAAGAAGAACATGACTGGCTAGAAGAAGAGTTGGAACATTTTGAGAGATTGTGCGAAAAGGAGTCACAAAAATGTGAAGTTCTGAAGAAGAAGATTGCCCATTCTGCTTTTATATATAACCAGCGTCGAAGCTGGAATGATCATTGTTTGCCCGTGGAATTATGTGGTCTTCCGAGAGAGGTCACGTCAGAGCAGGGTCACTGCAATCAGATTGAGAAGACCCTCACTCACATGAGACCGAAGCTCCCTGAACTTAATCACATTCGGTCCGATTTTTCCGATCTCCTTCGAAATGCTAATTTTGATGATGACAGACTTGTGAGTGTTGTCAACGACAATGACGATCAATTGAATACTCAATCTGGTAAGATTCCCGACTGTTGTATACAAAAGCATGATATGATTGGGATTACTGAAATTCACCCAACGATGGCGTTACATAACAATTCAAATGAAAACGCATCGAACAGCACAAAGCTTTCACTCACACAGCTGAAAAGCTTGATGCTTGGGGACAATAGCAAAGAATCGAAGAGAGCGGCGAAATGTGATGTGACGTCAACCAAATCGAAGCCAAAAGTACTGACGTTGAGAGAAAAGAGTTCGAGACCCTCAAGCGACACTGGTTCTGATTGGAAGGTGAGCGAGTTACAAAAGGATGTCATGAATCAGTGCATGAAGATTCTGAAAACCTTAATACCGGAGTGTCAGTCTCCCAAAGGTGAAGAGCGGGAGGAAACACTGGTTGAACTAATCGAAGCTTTTGTCCGTCACTCATGTCGCACAAACAGACTCGGCGATTTTATCCAGCTTATCCATCAATTCAATCATAAGGAATCTCGTAGCCCTGGCATATGCCTCTGTTGGCTCGCGATAACTGGACTAAAAAACTATGAAAAGGAACTGCGAAAAGGCAAGCCAACAGTGACTAAACGTTCAGCTATGCGAACAAAACCAGACAAGCCAAAGCCAATCGCAGCTGAACCAGACAGTGTACCGGATAAGGAGGTATACCGAAACGTAGTGGCCGATCTCTGTCGTCTCTTAAACCTGTTGGCATTCTTATACAAATCAAGGAATGACCTGACTAAATCCGCCGAATGTTTTAAGGAACTGCTGAAAATACGACGTATTACCCAAAGTTGGAGGGACATATCGGTCGCAATAGCCCTACAGAACCTTTCATCAGTTCAGACTGCTTTGAAAGATTTCAGCTTAGCTATTACGAATGCACGAAAAGCGTTGCAACTCCGTCGCGATTTGCTTGCAAATGACCCGACATTGATCGATCAAACAGGGGCTCAACTGGGGATGGCCAAACAAATGACCTACCTCGCACTTTTGATAATGAATAAACAGCAAACGGAGCAACGAAGACTACGCTACCAACGTTTCCCTTTCAAAGACGCGGCTGATCTTCCGGGGTTGTTGAATGAGGCGATTGGAATTGTGACAAACCTAACTGAGGTCTACACCAATAGTTTGGGCTTAATCAATGACGACTGGGATGTGAGCAATGCCGATGCGAAACCGTCCAACGTGGGTGACAGCGAAGATAACAGCCCGGAACCACAACAGTTCAGATTAAATTCGACTGATGAGTGCTCAATGATCGCACGAAACGCACTGGCTATTTACCATATATGTACAAAGAAATGGAATAAGGCATTCCGTCTGTTAATGAACAATTTGCAACACATGGACCAAGTTCTTCCTGATGAGAGGTTGGATCAAGTGACCAAGTCGCATCGATTGGCAACAAAGACAATAAAACTGACCTGCCTAAAGTGTCTTGTTTACGTCTGCAAAATGCTTGACGACTGTCCTTTGCAAGAGGACATGATTTGTCGTATTGCCAAACTGGATCGATATTATCGCAGAGGTGACGAACTGGTGGAAGATGACATGATACGAATGTGCCTTCAATCATTGGTAAATTACGTTTAAGGTTTCGGTTTTTCACCCGAAAGTCTATAGTCGTGTGATTTGGGGCTGTACTGCGGTATTTGATTTGTAACATTTATTTACTGATGTAGTTTTATTTCAATAGACGCGTTCTGGTGAGATATATATATATAGAGGTTGGATCAAGTGACCAAGTCGCATCGATTGGCAACAAAGACAATAAAACTGACCTGCCTAAAGTGTCTTGTTTACGTCTGCAAAATGCTTGACGACTGTCCTTTGCAAGAGGACATGATTTGTCGTATTGCCAAACTGGATCGATATTATCGCAGAGGTGACGAACTGGTGGAAGATGACATGATACGAATGTGCCTTCAATCATTGGTAAATTACGTTTAAGGTTTCGGTTTTTCACCCGAAAGTCTATAGTCGTGTGATTTGGGGCTGTACTGCGGTATTTGATTTGTAACATTTATTTACTGATGTAGTTTTATTTCATAGACGCGTTTGGTGAGATATATATATATATATATATATTGTGTCTAATTGAATCACAACAATTAGTTTGGTAGGCCGATAGCGTTTTTCCTATAAAATAACAGATAGTTCGTCATGGGTTCAAAAATTCCACTTTTAGATAGATAGGGATTAAGTTGTAAAGTATTACTGTCCCGAATGTCCGGTGACACCCGAATTCACTTTGCAAAGAAGGTACTGACCGCCAACCAGTATTGCTTGTGAAACCAAAGAACAGAAAAATCGATGCATTTCCTTACGAATAAACGCTATCTAAATTGATTAGCCATCTCTTTTGGTTTGGACACTAGGGATTCAGAGACACATTGGCCTGTAGAAGACACTGTCCACGTTGGATGGTTCATCACATTTGTGTGAAGTCCGAGTTCCAGCTTCTACTCGAGCGCTGTGGAATTCCTCCTCATCATCATTCAACAACATCACCAACATCATCATCAAGATAGTGATCATGACCATCATCATCATCGTCATCATCATCATCATCGACAGCACAGCATCAGTGTACAACACCGATACTTCACTGCCGTACAACCATGACTTATTTGAAAGCTTTATTGTGAAAAAAGAATAAAGGTGGATGGGGGAGGGACTTGGTGCTACCTTAACACAATCGTTCCGAGGTGCCTACACCTCCAGACAATCACTCAGACAGTCTGGATAGAAACTGACAACAAGAACGCCACTGACGTCGGTCGGCATCCATATCTTGTAGTGTCACCAACCAGGCACAGTGAGGATCACGCGGTCCCCATCCTGGAAGGCGAGTAGCACCGACAGCACCCAAGCGTTTCGTGATCTCCTTCATACCCCTCTG